AGGTTGAACCTATTGTGTACTTCGGCATGTGGATGTGGACTTGAAACATGTTCCCGTGATCTTGACATTGTTGACATTGGCTAACATGTCAACTAGGAATACACTATGACTATTAGGAACAATAGACACGAATTAATATGAAGGAAATGTTGCTTGTGTTATGATGACATGGCTGACTCATCATTCTTTGATGAGCAAAGAAAGACATCTGGAATAATAGAATTTTACATTTAAGAGATTTCTGTTATGTTGTGTGATTTTAGAGATAGTCCGACAGTATCATCGACATATTTGGTCTCGTTGATACTATGTAAAGCATGGAGCTGTTACTGTTGAACAGACATTATATAATATTTTGCTGATCTCAATACAAAGTACCAACTTTTGTTTCCTTGTAATGTTTTTTTTCATGCATACAGTGCAAACCTAAGGTATATATGATCTTCAAATGAAATAGCTGAATTAGAAACACATAATTTTGGAAACAATTACCTTTGATTTGTAAAGTTCAACTCATATTTTCTCATCAAATGCCCTTTCTATTAAAATTTACCTTTGAAGACCTTACCAAAATATTTTTGCGATGAACATATATGTAACATTATTGTCCACAATTTTAAATCATGATCTGAGCATTCCAAAACTACTATTTTGACGAAAATCGGTCACTCCAAACCAAACTTATTAAATTAAACCACCCAGTTATCGGTTAAAATATTGCCATAACTGGCATGACATGTTGCACCTTAAAAGGGACTCTGTACGGTTGTCACGCACGGTAGCTGATGACAATCGGCTTTAAATCAAAGCTAAATCATTCCTGATTGTGAAAAATCACATCCCGTTTGGTCGCCAGAACTGCACCACATTTTCACCATTTGGGGGGTCTGGCTTCTAGACCAATAAAGAAAGAATGGTGGAAGCTCACTGAATGAACGTCTTTTGAAACATTTCTGACATAATCTGACAAAGAAAAGGTATTCCTTCCGTAAAAGCATTTTATAATTCTTAATGAGTGGATAGTAAGATGGCAGAGATTCATTGGGATCTCATTTCTGCGATTCCTAGCTTGATATCTTATTATAATTTCATATGATAATAACATGCCAATAGACCTATCAATAAACATGTGATATATTTGCGGCCATAAAAAAAACAAGTTTGCAATTGCAATGTATTTCATACTATTGACTCTAGGACGTAGAATGAGCCAGTATCCCCTCGTTTGTTTAAATATGTGCAAAAATAAAACAAATTAAAAATGTCATATACCTCAGTATACCAAAAATAGTCCTTCGGTACAATGGGCATTGTGATGCATGACTAACCCGCTAAATGAACACCCGTTTGATCAGTTCTTTAAAGCAAAATATACAAAAGACACCTCAATAGTAGAACCCACCACTTGAAATGAGAAACACCTAATGCGTTATGCTTTGAAAACGATACCTGTGCTGGTTTGAAATCCAGTTATGCTGGACGGGCTACGTTTGTATATCCCATGCAAAACTTCGACCAGATGGGGTACAATATTAAAGCAGGCCAGTAAACGTGTATGCGCACGTTTTCGTATTATTTTTGCAGTAATGAAATCCATGTCATACAATCACAACAGCAACCTCCGAAAAGTTACTTGTCACTTCTACCCGTGAAGATCCGGGTTAGAATTGGTCTTCAGTAACCCATGCCTGTCGTAATAGATGCCTAACGGGATCGGGTGGTCAGGCTCGCTGACTTGATTGACACATGTCATCGCATCCCAATTGCGTAGATCGATGTTCATGCTGTTGATCACTGGATTGTCTGGTCCAGAATTGATTATTTACAGACCGCCGCCATATGTCTGGAATATTGCTGAGTACAACAAACAAACAACCTGTCTCTTCTTGTAATCCATGTTTCATTGTATATCCGTACACCTGTGTGTAATGATAATTGTGATGATCATTAATAACAGTAATTATCTTTAGCACAGGTATAATTAGTGAGAAGTACTCAGGTCAAAAGTATGCAGATTGACTCAATAACGTTTACCCCTCCCCTGATTTTCCATAATTCCCTACTGGGACGTCCTGCTATTCAGTTTCGAAGTCAGTCACGCATGTGACTTGTATAATCTGGGGTCTCAACAGAGCAAATAGAAAATAGTATTGTGTTCACCAAACTAGAGCGTATACATGAATCTACTTCACCGTATATTACCGTAATTGGATTACATATCTATAGACTAATGCACGCTCCTAGCATAATGTATCTATTATTATTTTTAATTTTTTTTATGCAGCTTGGTTTTTTCTGTGAACCAAAAGACTTTGGAAAACAACGACGAAGATTTGTCTGAAATTTCCAACGATAACGTAAATGAAGTGGAATGATTCTTTTCGGTGCCGGGTAACCTTATAGTAGAAGCAACATGTCTACATAGACACGACCCAGTTAATGTCTTTGAGTTGTCCATAAAAGTAGGCACTTAATGTTTTGTATTTAAAGCAATACGTTTCTGTAGTAATAGATCTTCATCAAATATTCCTCTGTGATAAAGTTGTGATAAAGTTTAGACTAAATCGTCCCCGTGGACCGTCTCCAGCTTCATACCTGTGCATGTAAACGTCAATGTACAGGAACTTGTTTGAGTGGCATTTTAGAAGTTGAGACGTACAATATGGAGCAAGTTTTTATGGATAACAACTTCTTTATTTCGTGAGTGCGACGTTTCGATACAGATTCTTGTACCGTTGTCAAGCAAGAGTGATGATCACTCTTGCTTGACAACGGTACAAAAGTCTGTATCGAAACGTCGCACTCACGAAATAAAGAAGTTGTTATCCATAAAAACTTGCTCCATAATGTACAGGAAGATGTAGATGTAAGAGGTTGAACCTGATGTGTACTTCAGCATGTGGATGTGGACTTGAAACAAGTTCCCGTGATATTGACATTGTTGACTAAGATGTCAACTGGGAATACACTATGACTATAGATATGAATTGATGTGAAGGAAATGTCGCTTGCGTTTTGATGACATGACTGACTCATCATTCTTTGATGAGCAAAGAAAGACATCAGGAATAATAGAATTATACATTTAAGAGCTTTCTGTTATGTTTGATTGTAATGATAGTCCAACAGTATCCTCCACATATTTGGTACCGTTGATACTGTGTAAAACATGGAGCTGTTACTGTTGAAAACACATTATGTAATATTTTGCTGATCTAAATACAAAATAGCAACTTTTATTTCCTTGTAATGGTATTTCATGCATAGCATGATACAGTGCCAACCAAAGGTATACATGATCTTCAAATGATAGCAAATTCACTTTCAATTTGACCTTTAACCATACCAAAATATTTTTGCGATGAGCATATCTATAATATTATTGTTCACAATTTTAAATCATGATCTGAGCACTCGAAAACTACTATTTTGATGAAAATCGGTCAATTCAAACCAGAGTTATTAAAATAAACCATCCCGTTATCAGTTAAAATATTACCACAACTGAAATGATATGTTGCACCTTAAAGGGCCCCTACGCGGTAGTCACGCACGGTAGCTGATGACAACCGGCTTTAAATCAAAGCTAAATCATTCCTGATTGTAAAAATCACACCCCATTCAGTCGCCAGAACTGCACCACATTTTCACCATTGTGGGGGCTGACCTGACTTCTTGACCAAAATGCCGCTATCATACATTACAACCGACATAAGTTCAATAACATCAGACAGTTGCCTTGTTCGAGAAAATCGCCATCAATATCCGCTAAAAGGAACAATATCCCATCCATCTACAGCTGACAGAGAAACGTGTTCCATGTCACGTGCCTGTTGTACAAATGTACATAACGTTTCGGGATATCAGACAGTTGTACCTTTTAATAGCTTCTCCACTGGTCACATAACTGTGTTTCAGTTTTTTCACAAGTTGAAATTATTACAAACCAGTGAACATCATGAATGCACCAAATGAATATCATGTTGTTAAAAATGTTCTTAAAAACAACAAATATGTTTTTACATCTGACATACATTTGGTCACACGTCTTCCAGGAATGATTATAATTGTACATGCAGTGCACATAGCGAACTCATCGAGACCCTCAAATAGACACAATAACTTAACAATGAAATCTATACGTAAAATTGTTGTGGAACAAACACCCAACAGAGGAATGTAACACAATTAACAGTTGTATTATAAACTTAATTAGGTTTTTAAATGACTAAACAATACTGCAAAGTAATTACAATGGCAGATCACAGGCAAGTCAAAGTTCAATAGAAGTACAATTACAAATGTACTATATAATATAAGTAATAAAGATGATAATATTCACAGCCACGGTGGTCAAGCCTCTAAAGTAGGCCTAGGTAACTACAGGCACCGATTGGCCTCACATAAACGCTGGTTTTAATAAAACCGCTGGGGCTTGCCAATTTATATTCTGTAAACATCACCCAGAAAGTTCTCTACCAAATTGGATTAGCCTCTAGCTGTTGTTGAATATTCCAGATTACACAAATTACAGACTCCCAAAGTGTCAAAATATAGTATCTTCCAGATAACTGCTCATATTACATAGTGATACATTCCTCACAACTACTTATTGATGGAACACAATGCTATGAAAACTTAACAGTAACGATGCAATGCAGCAATACATTGCATTGCCTGATATAAGTCATAAGAGTGTAAGAACTTTGAGATATACTGGCCCCAATACTCATGCGGGTGGTAAGGATATACTAACACGCTGGACCGCTGTATTCCTGCTTATTACAAGATTCATCTGAGAAGAACAGATCTCCAGTATCATATGCTTGTGGTAAATGTCGACTGAGAAGGTTGGGCCGGTCTGGCACTGTCTGACGTTGTTCATGTCGTGTCACCCCGCCCCGCTGGCATGCATCCTTGCATTTTCTTTCTAACCACCGGTTTGTGTTGCCTGTATATATACACACATATATATATGCGTGTGTGTTTTCTGTCTGCAGTGTTTAGCAGCATTCACCTACTCACTGTATGCAGTGGAAACCCAGAGTTGAAGGAGTATTCTGTGCTGTATATCTTCAGGACCATGTCCCATAACGGCGAGATGGAACCCCCACCCCGAGACGCTGAGTTGTACCCCCGGGCCGGACGCAGCACCTTCCTTCGTATAAAGCTCGACGTCCTCTACAATAACATCTCTATTCTCAAGCAACGATGTTCGCAGCATACAGGTTGAGATAATCTACAATTTTCCATCTCGTTTCTAAATGATTAGTAAAGATGTACATTCTTTCCGTTCTGTAGTGGGCGGTGGAGTAGCCTAGTGATTAAAGTGTCCGCTCGTCACGCTGAAGACCCGGGTTCGATTTCCCACATGGGTACAATGTGTGAAGCCCATTTCTGATGTCTTCCGCCGTGATATTGCTGGAATATTGCTAAAAGCGGCGTAAAACTAAACTCACTCCGTTCTCTTGTCGTGAGCAGTTTGACAAGATACAGCATATTCTATAGAAACAGGGCCATTTATTGCCATTACACGAGACAATTGGTTGATCTTAACCTGATACCAACATTTTACCGTTAGTTATTGATTTGGCGAAATCCCCTTTACATAAACATGAACCCGTGAGAGTATGAACTGTGTATCTGTCGAATAAGAAGCCCCTTAATCACTACATCATATAATGTTAGGTATCTTTACGATCGCATTGAATGTTTGGCGAGCCTAACATCACACCTTTGCTTGTCTTGTAGAAGATGACATGTTCTGCTATCCAGTGGGCATCGAGATAAGTGCATGTCCAGAGGACGTCAAATGAATCTCAAAATGTAAAGCCTTACAGTTTCTTTTAACAGACATCATAGCAGTGGTGAAAGCCAACGCCTACGGTCATGGCAGTGTGGAGATATCCAGGTATCTGGAGTCCCGGGGGGTCGGGCACTTCGCCGTCGCCACCCCAGAGGAAGGCGCTCAGCTCAGGCAGGCAGGGATACAGGGACACATACTGATTTTAGGTATATACGTTCAAGTTAGATGATAGTTCGTTTGATATGTCTTCTTTGTAAAGATTCTGTAAGCTGTAACTGTTACTGCATGTATTCATCTCAAGGCCAGAGTCTTCTTTCCCTTGATGTCCATCGGTGTGAGTTGGTCTGTAGCTGCCCATCCTCTCCTTTAGAGGGATAGTGTCAAGACCCTTAGTTCGGTGACCCATATTAGCCTCGATTACAGCCCATGGGATGCTGCCATTAAGTACGTGAACGTTTGAGTCATGGAACGACGTGTTTCAGTTCTGTCTTTACCCCAGCCATAGGACAATGTAACTGAAATACTTCTTGAAAGCGACGATAAGCTCAACTCACACATTCCCTAAGTACATCATGTTTTTATAGAAAGGGATATATTCTCTTAAACAAAAAGCAGCTAAGGGTCTGTGTCCTTTCACAGGTAACGCCGTCCAGGAGGACATCCCGACATTGGTGAAGTATGAGCTGACACCGACAGTGACAGAACTGAAATTCCTCCAGGCATGGTCTAAGGCCGTCACAAAAGACTCTAACAACAGCACCGATAACGACATCAACAGTAGTAACAATTCAGAGGAGAGGGTAAAGTATCTTTTTCCCCCCGGTACAATCTTAATTCAGAAAAATACTTTGACAATTGTTTCTTGGGTAAACACACTCCTGATAATTGGTACGGAACCGTTCATATTCAGGTTCCAGACTAACAGGGGTTCACTGAAAGGGTTGCGTTACGTGGATTCAGAATGTGTCGGGTGTTTCTAGGTGAGGGAGAGACACCAGGTGGTACTGAAGATTGACACTGGGATGTCCAGGAACGGGTGCCAGACTCACGACTTCCCCTACCTTATAGAAGTAGGTATGATCTTAATTGTAATATACGTACCGAAGAAAGTACACACCTGATGCCTTGTAAGTCACAATCAAAACATTGTTCTCACTATTCATATTTTGAAAAACGTAATTTCAAAGTGCTCTTTTTATCTTAAACGTCAGTATACATCTAGTACGCTGTTGTACACAGTGTGTGTTATTTCTGAGTATCCAACAGACTTCTATCGATGCTGATGTTCACTCTGTGCTTGCCGTATTGCCAGACAAGAGTTGAATACAGAATGAACCGTATGGTTTAATTATCGCACGTTGAACTTGGCTGAACGCTTCATAATGAAGTGGTTAATCATGCATATCATGAACGATATGGGACATCCTCATTACTTTCAGTGTCTGCTACTGTATGATGAGATACGGTGAATTGCATTTTATTCCGGAGGGAGAGAATTAAGTTTGGAAAACTAATTTTTCGTGGAAATGTTAATATTCTGACAAAAACAGGATGTCATCTGACAATTAATACAATTGTCTCCTTGCAGTTCTGCCAGACACACGGTCTAACTATCCACAGTGTAATGACGCACTTTTCCCAGGCCTGGGACAACCCCCACTTTACCAAGCAGCAACTGAACTCCTTTATGACGCTGGTGGAACCACTCAGGTACACCATACACACCCTAGTAGCTCTGTGAAACATCATATTAGTGCTGGGGCGGTTGGGGTAGCCTAATGGTTAAAGCGTTGGCTCGTCACGCCGAAGACCCGGGTTCGAATCCCCACATGGGCACAATGTGTGAAGCCCATTTCTGGTGTCCCCCGCCGTGATGTTGCTGGAATATTGCTAAAAGCGGCGTAAAACCAAACTCAGCCAGTCAGTCATATTAGTGTTATAAACCCGGCTCACAGCAAAACATGTATAACTTATATTGCCCAGGTATAACTTATACGCCCTGGCCACTGCGAAACATTACCAGAAAGTTTACGAACATACCGTGTATTAGAACCGCCCTGCTATACGTTATTAAACGTGGCCACTATGAAACATTACCTGGAGGTTTACTAACATACCGTGTATTAGAACCGCCCAGGTGTACGTTATTTATCGTGGCCACTGTGAAACATTACCTGGAGGTTTACTAACATACCGTGTATTAGAACCGCCCTGGTATACGTTATTAAACGTGGCCACTGTGAAACATTACCTGGAGGTTTACTAACACACCGTGTATTAGAACAACCCTTGTATACGTTATTAAACGTGGCCACTGTGAAACATTACCTGGAGGTTTACTAACACACCGTGTATGAGAACCGCCCAGGTATACGTTATTAACGTGGCCACTGTGAAACATTACCTCATTGGTATACCTCATTGTATTGTCCACAGAGCAAGTGGCGTGAAGGTGCATGTCGCCAACTCCGCCGCCATCATCAGAGGGTTGGGGACACAGCTGGACTTCATCAGACCCGGGATCTGCATGTACGGGCTTCCTCCAGGTCAGGACCGGGCACAGGGCTCAATCGTCTTTGAAATCTGACTTAGTATTTCATGCCATTATTATACTAAACTGTAGTCACACCATCGTATACCTCCACATACGAGTGTTTGTTGCGGGGTGAACGAAGGTGAGGGCTGGAGGAAATTAATTAACCGAAAGTCGTGTGTTGACTTTAAAGGAGAGTGGCAATGATTTATTCGTATCATATGACATGTATTATAAGGGTGGTAAGGTTTTGAAATCCCCACACTGGTAGATTGTGTTTTCACTAGGAGAGAAGGTGAGAGATAAACGTTAAACTGCTTGATAAGGTTACTTGGTGTTGGTATTAAGAACAATGCAAATAAATTCACCCAGTTTCGTCCTCAAATTTGCAGATCCCAGCACAGAGACTGCAGAGTTGGTGGAGTCCCTGGGGCTGAGACCCGTTCTCTCGTGGCGAGCTCGCCCCACCCTCATCAAACAACTGCCCCAGGGCAGGGTCGTGGGATATGACAACACCTACATGTAAGCAGAACAAGACATAGTGGTAATGACAGGTCATGCTCCACCATACTTCAGGATAGATAAGTTGGCCAATTACGTGCAATCGTCCCGGTGGGGATGCTGATTGTTCTTGAATCAACGTGTCTTTCGAAACAAAGGCAGTTCAGAGGAGACTGTAACATGAATCCCAGGCTCATAGGTGCTGGAACAGTGAGTACACACACACACACACACACGGACACACACACACACAGAGAGAGAGAGAGAGAGACACACAGACACACCACACAACACACAGACACAGAGAGAGAGAGAGAGAGAGAGAGAGAGAGAGAGAGAGAGAGAGAGAGACAGACACCACACACACACACACACATATACAGATGATGACGGATGGTTCTTCCTGCTTCCAGGACTCGCGGTACAGAGACCATTGCAACCTTCAGTCTGGGCTATGCAGATGGGTACAACAGGCTATTGTCGAACAGAGGTGTGGTGTCTCTGGATGAAGGTGAGGCCGTTCATCAGTTGTTCATTTGATGTCCTTCTTACTAACCGAGAAACAAAAGTGCTGCATCAGATTCCAAGAATATGTTTTTACCTCCCATGGTTCATGCACTGTTTGAGAAGTACCTCAAGTAAAGGATGAATGCCCCCCACATAAAGTATGTTTCATCAAATGTTGGGTGAATGGTTAACCACTGACTTTAGCAAGATGTTCAGAGTTGCATCCTTATGAGGAAAATGCTTTAATTAATGTTGCCTTGATTTTTAGTTTCAGTGTGGTTCAAAATGGTAGCACCCGAAAATAATTCATTATTACAGATGGTCTCCTGTGTCCAGTTGCTGATAGAATGATGAATGTCCCTAACATAGGTTCCGTTTCATCACATGTTTACTAAGATGTTGCATCCTTCTCACAGCCCATTGGCCTTGACCTCATTTTGACATTTAGGTTCAGTGCCGTGTTACCCATAATTCACTCATTATTTCAGATGGTCTCCAACTTCCGGTTGTTGGGAGAGTGTCCATGGACGCCATCACAGTCCGCTTGGATAAACCAAAGCCTTCGTCCACAACGTTCAACATTATCACTGACGACTTCACCTCCCCCAACAGCGTGACAAAGATGGCTGCTTCTCTCGGCACAATCCCTTACGAGGTGACGACAAGTCTAGCTGCCAGACTACCTCGCGTGTTTGTGGCTGGTGGACATGCTGTAGCTATCACGAAATCCTTGGTGACAGACGAGAGATGATAGTGGATTGTTGATCGTGGAGGAATGTTGTCTGACCATCTTCCAGGTGTTACGGCAAGGGTGTCTTGTAGAGAGTTAAGCCTCTTTTCTTACATTCCACATGCTGTCGTGTCTCTCTCACAGGAGATCGTTGGTCCTGGATGGGGTATACCCTTCGTCACAAACATTGTCCATGTGGTTACAGTGCATAGATATGTCCATTATTGGGAACAAGCTTTGGACTTTGCCATAATGAAAGCGTTATTGTTTCGTAATTGAAATACTGAGTTGTTAACATGATCCAGTTAGACATTAATACTTTCTACGGACAGCATTGGCTTGTTCATGGAAACTGTGTTCATGTAGCCCGGATTCACATGTACCTAAAAGTCAACAAAAGGATGGCCACAATTCCCCATCATGGCTAAACATCTTCCATTTATCACTTGAGTTAAGTTAGTCATAATATTTTTGTGGCTAATATGTTTGCAAGGCACTTTGTTACAGTGTTTTCAAACACCCAGTTATGGTAATTGTTTCTACCTCGGTTATTCAGTATCCTTCACGTTATTATTACTGTTCATTATGTAGAGGACAAAAGCTTCTCAGGGCAGAGGTATATTAAAATAGTTTATTTCGCTATATTTTTTATACTTATGCTAAAATAATATATTTCTAAATTGTATCTATTTAGAAAAATCAAGCACCTTACAGTACAAATGAGAGGTCATTATTCAGATGACTAGGTCACAAACACAGGATATTAACTATCATTCACGTAGCACTATTCAATCAGAAAATGTAAAAATAGTTCCATGTGAAGCTGCCGCTATCGTTCAGTGAACTTAACCACTGAATATTAACCCAGCACCAGAGCCTTTGGGATAGTATACTTCGACGTGAAGTTCTATTTCAAAAACGATGATGCGTTCACGCGTTCACAAACATAGTTAGAAAGATTTCCCTGATAGATTGAAACTGTATTTTGAAACGTAGACAAATAACACCTCAACAGCCTCTCCATTTACCTATCCATGGCTATGAAATGTTACTGTCCAGTGAGTGTTGCTCCCCAAATTCGATTCCCTTCCTGAAAAAAAGCGAAATGAAAATTACAGTTAGTTTTGCAATATGGACCTTATGGTGTCTACACCTCACTTCATCAGTACTTTGCCTTTAGTTTTGAAACTCATAGCCGAAATAACTAAACACGCTCGTAAGATTAGTGTTCATCTTCAGTCTGACCTTTCAGATCGCTCTATGGCTGAACGAATCAATGCCATCACACCAAATTGCTAAGTAATCAAAATCAATAAGCCACGTGACTGTCTGTGTAGTAAATGATTCAATAAAATGAGTGAAATATTTACGTAAACCAAACACACGATGACTTCAACATATGTGACCAAGGGATTTTTCTTTTTAAATTTACGCACCACATACGTTGTACTTTTGTGTAACAGATAACAAAGATAATGGTGGTGTGGAATATTGTGATGATGATCTAGCACGTTGTAGTGTGCATAAATAAATGTATAATTTATAATAAATGGAAATACATTTAATTAAAAATATCGTTTCGCAAGCTGTTGTCATGTGTTATATGTGTAAGAAACAAGTGTTTGCATGAAAGACAAGGTACCTCACATGT